GACGTCATCAATGTGCGACATGAATCATGCACAGTACTGTAGTGAACAAAAGCAACTGCGTTTAAAGTCTTTTGTACACTTATGAACCATTTGTGATTAGAGCTTAGAGCTACTATTGTATTTTAATGGCGATTATATGATGGTACTCGGAAAGCTAAGCTATTTTTATTCTGTAGTACAAATATTTGTAGAGGGAGGCAAATAAAGTCCCGATTCAAACCAAGTAATAAAGTATATACTCTGAAATTTATTGTAGTACGAAGTAAAATGTAAAATCCCAACTGTCCATGTTAGGGTTGGGATGGCTAAGCGGTGCTGAAAAAAAAAACAATAACGTCATCGACTGACTTCAACTCGAAAATCCCAGAGCATACAAAAAACCTGAGTCGCGGATTCTCAGTCTATGCAGATGAACGTTCGTTTTGATTGGATATGCTACAGAAAAAAACATACCAGTTGTGTAATTGAGCATTTCGGTTTATTATATACACGCCACTCCGTACATGATCAATATTACTAGGCTAACAATATCATTAATACAAGTCGAAATAAAAGTCTGGTTTCAACTACCATAATCAGTTATATGGTGCTCATTGTACAGAATATTAATGCTGAGATCGTAAATGTTTCAATATCCATTCATTCATCCATCCACCCATTTTGTAATCTGTTTATTTATTCTCACGAGGGTCGCGGGCGTGCTGGATCCTATTTCTGCTGTCATCGGGTAGTGGGGGGGCTGTACACCCTGAACTGGTTGCCAGCCAATCGCAGGGCACACAAAGAGGAACAACCATTCGTGCTCACATCACGCCTAAGGACAATTTAGAGTGCTATGCATTGTGAGGCGGATGTGCCGACCAGCCGAGCACCGCGCCACCCAATGTTTCAATTCTCATTTTGATACTTTATCCATCGGTTATCTGAACCGCTCTATCACGAGGGTCGTGAGCGTGTTGGAGCCTATCCCAGCTGACTTCGAGCAGCAGGCGGGGTACACCCTGAACTGGTTGTCAGCACGCATACACAACCATTCACACCCACAGACACACCCTGGGACTATTTGTGTTCATGCATGCATGTTTTCAGAATGTGAGAGAAAACCGGAGTACCCGGAGAAAACCCACGCAGGTATGGGAAGAACATGCAAACTCCACAAGTGATCTTATCTGTAGAACATGAAATCTATTAAAAATTCTCACAGATGGGTTTTGCTGGATTTATTTTCATTTTGGGGAATGAAAATATCAGAAGAATGTGTATTTTATTTGTGAACACTTGTTTGACCCAGTGTGAGAATTCAGAAAATGGGATCCCAACAATCACAAGAAAATCAAGTCCACTTTATTGTCAAATGTGCTCTATGTGCAACATACAGCACAGATGAAATATCTTCCCTCTCAACCAGTGGAGAGAGAGAGAGAAAGAGAGAGAGAGAGAGAGAGAGAGAGAGAGAGAGAGAGAGAGAGAGAGAGAGAGAGGAACTGCTGCGGTACCCGCGCTGCCATCAGTATAACAGTCAATATAAAATGACAAAATAATACAACGCCACACATAAGACATAGACAGTCGTGCAATCTTACCCACTTTTTCTGCATACACTTTGTTGTTTGAAGCAGTTATAGATGAAAGAGGAGAGAATAGTGAAAGCATCCTTGAGTTCCCACAAAATGAAGATGATACCAACAGCATTGTATGTCAATTATTTACACTTTAATGGCTTTAATTACATGCAAGTGTACAAAAAAAGCTTCACCATTGTATTTCAAGGATTCACAGCGATAACTTTGTACAAAATTAAGGGGGAAAAAATATATATATATAAATCAAGCACTGTGTCCCTTTAAATAATTTCAACATAATGTAACAGTTGCAGTATTTTGTTCAGTGATCAAGCACTACTGGCCCTTTAAGAGCTGTAACATCCTTCCTATCATAAAGACAAAGTTGGTCACTTCCTGGAAAGAATAACTAAGACAATTCTAAAAACACAAACTTTAATAATTATGAAGAGCGGTTTGAAAAGTTATTCAATATCCTTGATTTCCAGCTTTAAGTCCCTGTACCAGTTGTTGCTAATGGAATATGAGTAGGCCAAATGTGAAATGAGTAGTGGGGGAAAAAACATGAATAGTAAGACAAACGTGTTCAATTAGTGCGCTAAACTTTCTGAAGAGTGAAGAAAAATAAACTGTTAGTACATGGACTTTAAGGTAGATATCAACGACATTGACGAAATATTCAAACATCTTTTCATAGAAAAAAAAGCAGCAACATTCAACAATGTTCTAATTTCACTGATCATCCAGTAGAAGGCCTTCATACATTTGACATCTATTTCCAAGCATTTCTATGCTCCCAGGAAGGCAGGAGTGATTTCTATTCTCCCGGGTGTGATGCTTTCAGATGAGGCCAATATTTTACTCCTGTATTTCATATATTTTCTGAAAACTTATTCGGCCACTCATTTATTTTTTTCTAAACCCCGATGGCCAATAGGGTACAGTATTTCAAATTAACCAGGAGTTTGACAACAGGGCTGCAAACAACTCCCAGTTCAAGTGAGGTGTGCGTGAGCTCAGAAACAGAAACAGAGGTCAAAGGGCGTTTCACAGCTCCGTTCAGATGACGACGCTGGTGCCACTGCGATAGCTCTTAACCTGAGAGAAACAGACTAACTTTAGATTCTTTTTTTTTCCTCACAGCCAGAAAAATCCGATTGTCATAATTTAAAAAAAATGTATTTATTGTGACTACATTAAAGCAATGTTTTTCTTACAGAGTAGTGATCGTTCCTTCTTGGTCCTGGTTTGTTTCCAGGCTCGTACTCAGTGTAGCCGGGAGGTTTCTCACCCCAGCTTCCGCCACCTCTCCTCCCTCCTCCTCCTCTTCCTCCTGCTCCTCCTCCTCCTCTCCGATAATTGTCCTCATCGTCAGAGCTCCAGGACCCTCCCGCCCGACCTGCTCCCCGTGGGTTGTAGTTCCCTCTGGACCTGCTATCAAAGAGATCATCCCTAGAGCGGGATCGAGGGCGATCCATGCCTCCTCGTGGCCCGCCACGTGGCTGCCCATCCAGTGATTCCTCGCTGTAGCTCCTCGGAATGCCTCTGGATCTCGTAGGTGAAGGATACCGTCGACCCGGCGTGCTGCGCTCCCCTCGTCCGAAACCGCCATGGCTGCTGTCGCTGGAGCTCGGAGGGCGAGTCTTAGGTGCGGGGGGCGGCACTCGGCCTGGCTCACGTATCGGCGGGAGGGTGATGATGCGGCGATCTGAAGGCATGTCACCGAGACCAGAAATCATGCTGGGAGGGCCGGCTGAAAAGGGGACGCTGATGGGCATGTGCTGGGGGGCAGGTTGAAGCTGTGTCATGTGAGGAGGTGGAGGCGGCTGAGCCTGTTAACAATATGATGATTTAAAAAAAAAAAAAAAGGAAGACAGTCAATCAATAGCAACAAAGAGGACATTCTGCACACAAGTGTGTCATAGGTTTCCAGTTACAGCATCATAAACATACACTACTCAAAAAAAGTAAGGGGTTTTGGGTTGTAGGATAAATTCATCAGTGATGAGAAAAATTTGCGTTTACACGAGGCTTCGCTAAACTTAAGGTCAGGACGTGAAAATGGAGTCGAGTGAGTTTTAATTAGGTTGCTGACAGTCGGGGTGGATTTAATTGATAATAAGGTCTCCCAGCTAAATTTAGAGTCACGTTCTGTCAGATTGTGCAAGGGAAAGTCATCTTTTCGTTTCCTCAAAGTGATGTCATACAAGTGAGAATATACACGAAGGAATATTTTTAAAAGGTGTGTTGTAATAAATTAAAATGTGTTTCAAGTATGTGGGATGGATTTAAACTACATTTTCAAAGTTTTTTTTTTTTTTTAATATAGTCTCCAGATTGCAGACTTTTTTTTAATTTACTGCAAGGGGGTCTGGAATGTATCCCCTATAATAAATGGAAGTTCACCGCATGCCATGTCAATTTATTGATGCAAAGCTGAGTCTCAGTTGAGTAACCCAATTGCTAATTTGGGTCTTAAGATGAATGTTTACGAGACCTTGGTAAAGGTAAGAATAACAGCACAGTACATACCTGAAGCATGGGACTGGTCATGTCCAAACCCCTCACCTGACTCTCCATGTAGTCAAGCATGTGATTAGTGTTGGCAGGTGTGTGACTGCCGTGGATACTCGGCGCCGGTAGGCTATAAGCTGACGACTGTGGTGGGGGCAGTGGCATGGGCTTCATAGGCATGCTCTTCCCTGACATGGATCCTATGGGAAAAAAAAACACCAGCCCAAATTAGTAGAGTACAAACTCAAAAGTATCTTTCCTGCAGTGCGAGTTGTACCTGCGTATAGTAGCGGGTTAATTTGAGAGGAGGAAGCCTGGGTCATTGGTCCATATACAGGCTGTCCTCCCACCCATGGAGCCATAGCCCTCTGAGCCTCCTTCATCATACGATGCTGCATTACCGCTGAAAGACAAACGTAGATTTTTAAAGCACAGAAATGACTTCTGTGGACATTTTGTATGTAGCCAAAACATATTAGCATAATGCAAGTCAAAGAATATTCTTAACTATGGGTCGAGTTTTTTACTCCATATAAATTACTTGAGCAAAATGTTTGACGTGACTAATTCATCTGAAGCATGGCAGAAAAAAAAAAAAAAACAAGCGTGCCATTCGCAGTCTGACGAGCCATGACTTCTTTACCTTCCGAATAATGAAAAGGAACCGTTATGAGGTGCCATCTTTTTTTTTTTTACTCAAAAACTGTTCACAATTTAACCTATAAGAACTCCACAACTACTTGACACAGACTCACTTTGGAGAACTACATTTTTCTTGTGGCAGTATTTTAAAGTTACAGTATTCTTACTCGAGTACAATTTTTGGCTACATTATCCATCTTTGACTCTTGGGGGAAAAAGTGAACTGTGCATTTATGAATGGGTATTAATAATTTTACAGGCAGACATAGAGAGCGTTACACAGATATATGAATTATCCGTTTATTTTCAATACTGCTTATCCTGTTCAGGATTGAAGATATATGAATTATTTCCTTTTATTACAATTAAAAAAATGTTTTATTAAATATCAGAGTCTGTTCTGAGATGATGTTAATGATATGTCAAGCAAGAAAATTTGAGTAGACATTCAGAAGATATTCTGTAGTGTCACGTCAACAGTATAATATGACTGAAACGTTTGCACTAAAGATGATGCTGTTGCACTGGGTAAGTACGTAACCTTTGGCTCGATCAAGAGTCACTACAGTGTGTCAATACAGTAGAAGTTTAGTGTGTTTAAAGCAGGTGGGAGAGCTAAAACTATTATTATTGTATACAGTATGGGCTAGAGTGCAGAATTCCACTTCATCTGTTGTCATTGATGGGGCTTGTGAAGGAATGACCTTCTGATAGCCAATTTCAATTCAAATCTGAAGTTTCCATCAAAAAATAGCAAGCCCTACTACAGTGAAACTCCTCTACAACGAAATCATGTTTGCAGCAAGAATTTTTTCACAACAAGGGGTTTTTCACTGTAGCAAATTTGATCTCAGATGTAAGCACACACACA